AATGATTTAGGGTTTGTTTGGGATTAGAGGTTATTAATATATGACCTGATTTTTGAATAAAAAAAATTTAGACTTGATTTTTAAAAAGCAATCTTTAAACACCTGATTTTTTATAATTTCCCTTATTCTTTCTCAAAATTAATTGAACAATTTTGACAATTGAGCTTCCCAAAATTCTGGCCCAATTAAGATTAAGTAAACCTTAATCCAATAACCCAGCCCAGTGCCCAAGTAGCCCAATTTCAATATATCTTACACGTTAAATTAAAACTCAGGTTTACAGTTTTCAGACTACACTTCTCCTTCACTCAAACCCGCCGTCGCCCTCGCCAGTTCCGGGTATGGTATAGTTTCATGTTTCTTGGGTGCTTATATTGTGCCTTAAGTTTGGTAAATAATTTTGTGCATCGAATTCTTATTTCAAGAACTCAGTGCAATTGTCCCTGCTCGCGAAAAACAGACCATCGTAAAAATGAAATCTTGCAGAATCAAGCGATTTAATTGACACTATTATTTATGCGATTGAGTTGTCTCCAGCAATTCTAGATTCGAAAGTTTCACAGGTTCATTTTCTCTTGAATTCAAATCATTCAATTCTTAAACCAAATCAATGTTACTTTCTGTTCATAAATTGTATTTTCTGTTCATCAAATCAATGATAAGTTTATCAGAATTCTGTTTGTTTTAATATTTATACATTGAAATGTTCAGTATTTAAATAACAGTATTGATTTATATAGTTTTTTAGTTTATTCCGCTTCTAGGATTATGATAATGTTGAATAAACCATTTTAATAAAAATATATTGATTGGTGGCCCAGATGTCTTGCCATGGGTCGGCGTATTCTATTCTGACTCCACTCGCTTCAGTTGCAAGTGCTTCAATTGAAGTTGGAGATACCGCTATTGGCATTCAAGAAAATTACATTTCTTATTTACTATATATGAATCAATTTTGAGATTTGACTATTGACTATGCTAGTAAGAGTTGTGCGGAAAAATGAAGATTAACCTATGCTAGTAAGAGTCTTGACTCATGTTGATAATGTTGTTTGTTAAATTCGAATTTTACGTTTGGAAGTTAGAATATTGTTTGCTAAATTGGCTTAATATTGTTTTTTGTTTTTTTTTTTTACTTTTCTTCATAATTTTTATTTTCACTTTGACGTTTGGAGTTGGACTTATAAAAAATAATTTATTTTTGTGGTTATTAACCGAATCGAATCAAATCGAACCAAGATACTAACCGAACCGACTTACGTAGTTATGGTATGACCAAAAATTTGATAGTGCGGTTATGATTTTGGCCGAACCGACCCCAAACCGAACTGTTGCCATCCCTAGTTCACCACCTAGCTATTAATCTAAAACTCTAAGGGCATGTTTGAGAGTTTTACTTTCACCGATTTTGAGTAATACTGTTTATGAAGGGTTGAAAAAATCAGTACTTGTTAGGTTTTTTTAGCACCCATTTTGGATTGTTTAAAAACCCTCCAAAATCGGTGGTGTAATTTTAACTGATTCTCTTAACTCGCCAAATCAGTGGGTTTTGACCGTTTCTCAAATTCTTTTGTGTAAAAAAATTACTTTTCTGTAAAAAAAATTATTTATAAAATAAAAATACTATTAATAAGACAAAAACTCACTTATAAAATATAAGTAAAAAATTCACTTAAAATTATTTAAAAGCATAAAATCAATGTATAATTATAAAATCTACTTATAAGTAAAAAATATTAACTTGAAATTTCAAGCAAATTTTTAACTTTATTTTATTTTTTAAGTTAAATATTAACTTATATGTAAAAATTAATTATAAGTAAAATATCACTTATGAATAAAAAATTTTATATAAGAAACTGTAAATTGAAAATTTTACTAAGGAATATATTATTATATATATAATTTTATTTTTTTAAAAAAACTTTCATAATCAGTGGATAAAAAATTCCTAAGTATAAGTTGAACATTTTTAAAAATCACTACTAAAATCATTTAAAATTGATTCACTCGAAATCGATACTTTAAAAAACACTCATAATCAGTACGTCGAAACTCTCAATAGAGCTCTAATTGGAGTTGGATACTTGTTCTTGTTTATGTTGACATCGTCACATACATCTCATACATTGATAATTTATTTATTTTCAACTTGGTCATTAGTATTCTATTACTCGGTGGACACGTCTCCTTAAGATTGTTGGTCAATTTTACTTCACGTGGCATTTTTTCTCACAACATTAATATCTTCATGCATCAGGCTAAGTAGAAACCCTAGCAATCTTTAATATCTTCTGCTCACGAGATCGTGTAAATAAACTCTCTCAATTTATGGACCAACAAACATTTGATCAACACTACGTGTATCAAACGCCTTATTTATGTGGCACACTTCATTTTGGCATATTGCTTCAAAGACATTTTCCTCTCTTCTAGCTTGCATTCTCTTATTCTATTAGATAGTTAATGCTGATAATCAAATATCGACCAAATTCACACGTTGTGCTTCTTGGATACAATTCAATTGCTTAGATAATTTGCAAACAAGAATCTATCGCACTCTCTTCTATTGAAGTGGAGCATCCCTCAATAGCCACCACAACATGTAATATTCTCTATACGAAATCTTTTATGTCTTAAGACAAATCAATTTTCACCATACTTCTTATTTATTGTGACAATGCTAACATAAAATAATGATTTAATCAAATATTTGATTCTTGCATGAACATATTGAGGTCGATGCACACTTCTTTCAATCACGAGAAAGTTCAAAATGGATACATTATGGCATCACATTTTGCCTTGCCCGACTAACTTGTTCATGCGTTCAGTTTGATATACTTGGATATCTGACTACTATTTTGTTGGAGCGTGTTATAGATAACGTTATAAAATAATTAAAACTCTTTGCCTTTTGTTTTGTAGAATTACTCCTTCATTACCGTTAGGTTTTTATATACCATGTAGAAAATCGCTAAATAGTATTTGAAAGCAGATTAGTGCAATTTAAATGAGAGGAGTGAAAAGAAAACCGGAGCGGGGTTGGGGTTTGTGGGGTGGAAGACACGTGCGATGCACGTGATGGGTAGAGCGAAACTTCTAGGCCGCTATAATCTTGGATACAGGAACCCAATTTATCGCCGTTGTCTTTCAATTCCTCGGATCGCCGTCTGCCGATTTTTTCCCGCTGCCACCATCTTCCACCAGCCAATCACCGTGAAGATATCTTTACTTCAAGTTCTTCAGATCTAAGGTATTCCTGCGAACGCGCGTGATTATCTGTGTGAGGGTGGGTGGAGTGGGGGGGGGGGTGTAAAATGAAAAAGACAGATGAAAAGCTCCTGTAAAGTTGATAAACAATCAAAAAATTTTAAACATATATAATCAAATGTGTGAGCTTGGATTTTAAATAATAATTCTTGATCTAGCTTACATTTTGGTCACTGGCATTGAATTTATTGTTTTGTTTGTTGTTTTTCTCAACTTCATAAATGATTGAAATATTTTAAATTCTAAAAAAAGAAAAATCCTGTTGGTTTCATGGCCACAATAGTTTAGATTACTGTTGAACTTTGAGAATTGGAAATGAGCCATTAGGACCTTTGAATTACAGTATTCACATATCAGATGATAGATAACTAGAATTCCATAAAATTTTGCTCCCTCAATACCACCAATTAAGTTCATATATTTCATCCTAAGAACGGAAGTTTATGTAGCTCGGCATAAACATTGTCAAATGTTTGTATAATTAAAAGGCTATATTGCCATTGGAGATGTGACAATATGACATATATTGGTTTAGGGGCAAGTGTTGGCATAATGCTGATGTTCCTAAGTAATGAATTTCAATCTGTTTACGCCTGCACAAGATCATGCCTTGGCGGAGCCATGTGTATTGGAGTTCGCATTAGGTCTTCTATGGTATTTGAAGTACTTTGGCCTCACTGATCCTTTTTTGGTTGAACGGCTGATCGAAATGTCTCTATAGATTCAATAGATCATTCATATTTTTCTTTTTTGATAGGATGCCAGTATTCATGGTGTTTTTCAAGCACTCCTCGATGTACTTATGTGGGATAGTCCTATTGATACAAAATACGGTTCTTATTCACTTCTCTATTACTTGTGTGTAGGCGGACTGACATAATTTTGATTGAACCGCTATTTATTCAAAGTAATGGTCCGAGGGAGAGATGCATGTTGGGAACACTGTGTCCTCATTGATGCAGCTAAACAGAAGGTTAGATGTAATTATTGTCATCGGGAGTTCAGTGGAGGTGTTTATAGGATCAAATTTCATTTAGCTCAGATCAGAAACAAGGATATAGTTCCATGCTCTGAAGTTCCGACTGATGTGCGGGATCATGTACAAGGTATATTAAGCAATCCCAAGAGGCAGAGAACTCCTAAAAGACAGAAGATGGAGCAGGTGGAAAATGGCCATCAAAATAGCTCTTCTGCGAGTGGCGGCGCCCTTCCCAATCATGGATCCAGTGAACAGAATGGCAGTGCTTGTCCATCTTTGTTATTTCCACGTTCTTCGCCAAGTGCTCCACCCGAACCAGCATTAGAGGATGCTCAAAAGCAAAAACAGGATGACGCAGATAAAAAAGTGGCTGCATTTTTCTTCTATAATTCAATCCCTTTTAATGCTGCTAAATCTACGTACTATCAGGATATGGTAGATGCTATTGCTGAATGTGGAATCGGTTTTAAAGCACCAACTTTTGAAAAGTTGAGATGTAACCTCTTGGACAAAGTTAAAGGTGATATTCATGATCTGTACCGAAAAATGAGAAATGAATGGAAGGAAACAGGTTGCACAATCTTGTGCAATTGCTGGTCTGACGGTAGGACCAAATCACTTGCAGCTTTTTCCGTTACATGCCCTAAAGGGACGTTGTTTCTGAGGTCCATTGATGTCTCTGGCCATGCTGATGATGCTCATTATTTATTTGGGTTGCTAGAATCAGCTGTCTTAGAAGTTGGTATTGAAAATGTTGTTCAAGTGATGACAGAAAGTGATTCTAGTTATGCTTATGCAGGAAAGCTTCTTATGGACAAGTATCCTTCATTATTCTGGTCTCCATGTGCTTCATATTGTATTAATAAGATGTTGGAGGATTTCAGTAAACTAGAATGGGTTAGCATGGTCTTGGAAGAGGCAAATACTATCACAAAATTCTTGTATGGTAATGAATGGATTCTTAAAATGATGCGAAAGTTTACTGGTGGAATGGAGTTGATTAGACAGAAAATTTCAAGGTATTTAACTAATTTTCTCTCCTTAAGATCCCTCATAATACAAGAGGACAATTTGAAGCACATGTTTACCCATGCCGAGTGGTTGTCATCCAATTTTAGTAGACGCCCAGATGGCCAACTCATCAAGTCAATGTTGCTTGCAGAACGATTCTGGAACTCTGCACGTGAAGCCGTTAGCATATCTGAACCACTACTTAAAATCCTCAGGATAGTAGATGGAGACATGCCTGCTATAGGCTTTATGTACGAGGGACTGGAGATGGCAAAACTAACAATCAAGACATATTATAAAGGCATTTCAGAGAAGTATGTGCCTATGTGGGATATAATTGATAGTAGATGGAACATACAGCTTCATTCCCCTTTACATGCAGCTGCAGCGTTCCTTAATCCTTCCATTTTCTATAGCCTCAGCTTTAAGGTTGATTCAAGAATGCGGAATGGTTTTCAAGAAGCTATGATGAAAATGGCAATAGATGATAAAGATAGAATAGAAATAACTAAAGAACATCCGGTGTACATAAATGCTCATGGTGCTCTAGGGACTGAATTTGCGGTAAAGGGGAGAACATTAAATGCCCCAGGTATGCTTTAAATCAAAATAATCGCCATAATCAGATATTCTCATACTTTGTCACGTTAGTTCTAGAAGGAAGGTCCTGAAGAATGGGCCCAGAAGGGAGCTGTTACCATTTAATTAAGTAGGAATAGGATCTGCATTAGGAGGCTGCTTGAACTATACCAGAAAGTTCAACCCAGTGATGTTAAAATGCCTGAAAGAAGTGTAATAAGACATGTCCCAATTGCTAGTTAGTTTTACCGTCATGCAGAAGTAAAGTATTGGATATAGACTTGTTTAACAATAATTGATTATGTTCAAGATTTTGATGGGATTGAGGAAATGTGCTTTAAATGGTTTTTTACATTCGTAGTTAGTTTCACTGTCTCCATAAAAATCGTGGAAAAGGTGTTTAATACATGGTTTCATTCTACACCTAGTCTATCAGAAGTTGTTGGGACTTCATAATATCTCACTTCAATCACCATGTATGTTGACATTTCTGCATTTTGTATCCTTAGGTGACTGGTGGGCAGCATATGGGTATGAAATCCCAACATTGCAGAGATCTGCAATACGGATACTAAGCCAACCTTGTAGTTCTCACTGGTGTAGATGGAATTGGAGCACATTTGAAGTCATTCATAGTAAGAGACGCAGCAGAGCAGAGCTTGATAAACTAAATGATCTGGTGTTTGTCCATTGCAATCTCTGGTTACAAGCAATTGTCAAGAGTAGAAATGTGCAATATAAGTCAATCGATTTTGATCAAATAGATGTGATTTCAGAATGGCCTACTGAATCTGAGACTTCACCCCCTCTCTTGGATGATTCGTGGTTGGACAATCTACCTTCTGAGTGCAGAATATAAGTCAATTGATTTTGATCAAATAGATGTGATTTCAGAATGGCCCACTGGTCCAAATTATAAGTGCTTTAAGCCTCAGTGTTGCATGATTTTTTAAATACCTGTTCACGTTTTGCTTGTATTAATGTAATTATGATGGTTTTGCATTCTTTTAAGTCAAGTCTCTTTAAGTCTTCCTTAGTTATAGGCTCTAAGTTTAAGTATCATGAATCACAATTTTAAGTTTCGCACTATTCAGCCATTGGTGATAGTAGTTATTGATGAAACGATGTCATATCGAATATTGATTCGTCAGCAACTTGTAAAATTGTAACTTGCGAATAAGGTACCCTATCTTTCCCTTTCTAGAACTGTCCGACCATGATATATAATCAGAAGTGACTACTGGATTGCTTAACATGTATAGAATGTAGTATTGCCCACTTTTCTGTTGACGATCTAGTACTAGATTTCTTTAATGGCTTTACGTATTTGCTAATGTTTTCTTAAGTTAGGATGTTCCTTTAGTTTAACTTGGGTGGATGAAGTAAGTGTTCCATAGTTCCAGAATGTGTGAAATTCCATATGCAGGGCCGGCCCTGGCACAAGGCAAACAAGGCCATTGCCTTGGGCCTCAGATTTTAAGGGGCCTCAAAAAAGAGGCCCAAAGTCACCATAATCCATTAAAAAAAAAAGGTTTTGTTCTACTCACAGAGAGGAAATCAGGAAGAGGAAGAGGCGCCCTCGAGACTCCAATCAATGAATGAATCATCTTCAATTCTTCATTCTTCAATATTCAAGAGTCGTCCTCCAATTTGTGATCAAGAACAACTTGCACCGAGTTGCCAAGTTAAAGACATATCCGGGTAGTGTAGGTATGAAGGAAGAAGTACATTTATAATCGAAATATGAACAGGGAATTGTGCTTAGTCACATACATATTTAAATAGTTTCTAGCTCTATTTTTAAAGAAATTTCCATAAGGGAAGTTGTTTAATTCCTAAAAAGTGGATTAGTTGAGTTCAATATAATAGTCTGCTTGAAGAATATTAATTTTCCATATATTTGTTCTTTTTCTAAAAAGTGATAGTTTCTGTCAGGTAATCACAGAATTTGAAGAGCAATGGACAAATGGAAAGGTAGAAGGATGAGAAAATGAGGGTCAAGAAAATGGTAATATTCCAACAGAGCATTCTGCTATTGATCTTGATTATTATACTATTGTTGAAGAACTGATGGAGGTAGGACCTGAGAGGCTAAAAGAGGTATGGCAGGAGTTCATAGAAATACTTCTATGTTTTTCTTGCATGATCAATTTAAATCAAGTGGTATTGTGATCCGCATTTTGTTGTCCAAATTTATACTCGTGCTAAGCTTTAGGCTGTACAAAATTATTTCGTATTGATACATGATAAACTCTGCTTTAATGGATTGGGGATTTAGGTAATACCATATTGTAAGGCTATGAACTGGCATTAACAAGTGCCTTTATATTCCAAGCAATGGTTTACAGTACAAAGCATTAATAATGAAAATGCGGTACCCTTCAACAGCGTGCAGAGAGGCTTTTTCTTACAAAGGTCAAGATTTATCATTCTTTCCTTTATCAATACCCTTTTACCAAGGTTTTGTTTAATATTTTTAACTTATGGAACTCTCTTATATGCAGATGAACCTTACTCCATTGTCCAGTCTTTTTTCATCTTTTTAAATGATTATATTGAAGAGTCTCTTAATAATTAATCGCCTAGGGCCTCTTAATCCTCAGGGCCGGCCCTGTCCATATGATATACAGTATTAGAGAATCTGGCTCCGTTTATCCAAGTTCAGTTAAGTGTCATTTCTTGGTTGACATTTGAACTGATATAGGCATTCGCTAAACTGGTTGGTGCGGAGATTGAATAGTGGCCTAGAGAGGTTCGTGGTTGATCGACTCACAATATTATGAATATTTAAAAAAGTAAATAACAATTTACAAAATATAATATTTTATAATTAACACATTGATTATGTTCAGCAATACATGTTCCTCCATGGCGGGTCAAACCTAAACAAATATGACTCGTTATGACCTGCTTAGACAAAGACTTGACATCATCTATTCAAAAAATATAGGACATTAAGAGACAAAATTTGGATTGACCCGACCATAAGGCACATTTTGCATGCATGCCATAGATATAATTTTTTTAAAAAAGTTAGTTTAAAAAAATTAAAATAAAAAAAATGCCCTGAGTTGACTAGCTTGAATGTGTCCCAGTTTGAGAGAGAGAGTTACCTAATACGTAGTATCTTCTTAATCAAATCAATCTATGTATGACGTGATTAAACCTACCCTTAAACTAGTAGCTCAACCATTATTTTTAAGGATCGTTTGGTATAGATTTTTGGGAATAGATTTTGTGAAAAGTAATATTTTGAAAAAAAAAATGTGTGATTAAAAAATAGAGAAAAACTTTGAATCTAAATAAAAAGTTATTTTATTGAACTAGAGAATTTGTACCACATATGGACTTATATCGCTTTCTTTCTTAATACAAGAAAAGTCAGGTCTTAAAATCAGATGCATGAGCTAATGGATGACAATATTCTATTAACAGAGAAATTTGGGATGTGGATCTTTACCACATAATTTATGAATATGTTTATCTATTTTTTAAGGTTTTTTTATTTTTTTTTTTTTTGTAAATTCAAACCATCGTAAAGCTAGTGTGTTTATTCATAAAAACAAAATATACAAACTTAAAAGGGACATAATACTAGCTTTAACTCATCGCAAAATATTAGAGTTAAAATTCTCATAGTAGGTGTTGACAATTATTCAAGCCAAACTTTCGTCGTTGGAATACACCGTACCAAAGGGTTCTCGTGGGTTTTGAAGAATCAATTGAATTTTAGGCCAGAGAGAGTTTTGAACGATGACCCTGGAAAATGGGATAAATTAGGAAACCGTTTTGAATATCTTATATTCGGATAGGGAAGAAGGATATGTCCCGGCCTTCATCTAGCAAAGAAAATGGTAATGTAAAGGAGCTTCGCTCCTGCATTCATTTGATTGGAAACTACTGGAGGGCGAAAAACTTGAAAAACTCTGAGAACTTTGGAATTGTTGACTAAGAAACCATTGTAATATCTACCACAACCTTTTGACTTGTGAGGTTTGGTTGATAATATCTTAGAGCATAAAAACAACAAAATAACAGCTAAGAGCTTCATTTGAGGAAGGGAATGACATTGAACTTTTATAATTCAAGAAAACATAGCTTTAAATACTATCCCCTCTCCAAAAAAAGAAACTACAAAATCTCTAACTCATCTAATATTTTCACATACCATCAAGTTTTTAGATCATTTTGGGGATAAAACATCAGCCCCAGCCCCAAAGAGTTCACTTCTATGCATTATGCAACCTGTGATCACTCAATCCACTACGGAATTTGCGTCATCCTATCCAACCCAGACGAACAAAATGCTTGAGCTCAGGCTGAATCAGCGGCTTTGCAAACTGGAAGCTCTTTCTCAACATATGGTGCAACCCTAAGAACAGGGTTTCTCTCAAAGAAATTCACCGGTTTGAGGTCGAAGCTTGACGAGACTGTAGGCATAATGGGGTAGTCCTCTTGGCATGGGACGTGATGAAAGCCCAACGTATACCACAAAACAATGTCCCTGTTCTCAATAGGTCGATCCCTGAAAACTCCAATACAATTTTACGACCATTAGACAATGAAAGGAGTATGCACTAAGAAGTTGAGTAATATAATTTTGGCTGGAGATCGTACCTGTCAGACCAAACTTGAAGGGTATCTTCACCATGACTCTGATAGGCAAACAAACCTCCCGACCATTGCTCCGACTTATTATACTGCGTAACCCAAATTTGGTTATTAGTGAAAGCACTTCTCTTTTGTGGAGGATCTTCAGGATCGAGCAAACTAGCAGCCGTTCCAGCAGGAACCACCTTATAGCCAACAGGATTGCCCACTTTTGATTTCTTGTTCGGATTAACCACGTGAAATTCAGATGGATTGTACAATGACAACTTAATTTGTGCTTCTTTCTCAGTCTTAGCCACTTCCTTGTTAACTTTCATGTAGCTCTTCCTAGGTGACTTCCCATTGGTGTATTCTCTTTGGAGGTGAACATTTACAAAAGAATTTTCTATGCCGTCAATATCCATGTCGAGGTAGAAATTGATGTAGTGATCGTGCACAACTCCAATTATGTTTTCTGATAAGAGGGTGCCATAGAGTTGTTGTTCCCTGTTTACTTGGTTCATGTTTGCATAAGAGGTGCCTTTCACAATCACTATGCCAGTGAGCGAAACCTGGACAGTAATTAGCGTATTAGAATTATATATAAGAACTTTAGGATAATCCAACCTGTAAACTAAACGAATCAATTATTTCTTGACTAATGAATACTTCTTCACAAATTAAAATTTCGTGTTGTTTTCACAATCAATTTATATGCTTTAGACTAGCAAAAAGAGGGTCAACTGAGGAAAATACCGAAATCGGCAACAATGCAGAGAGCAGACATTGTGGTCCTCATTCCATATATAAGGTCAAGAATCATTCCTTGGCTTCATTCAAAGATAGTTTGTTAAAGATGCGAAAATCTTTCTATATTCAGTTCACAGTTTCTAACAATAGTGACGCAAGTAATAATGCAATGAAATGCACGAAAACTTATTTTCACTAACCTTAACATGGATTAGTCCATCAGCATGGAATTCCCAGTCGATAATATAGTCATAGTTAGCTAGTGATGCTACCATCCTTGCAACTAATGAGACCTTTGGTCTTGCCTCTCGAATCTGTCCGAATTATTAGATGTAATCGGAATTGTGCAACAGAGCAAATTTTAGATAGGACAATTGAACAGGAAAATTAAAATTTTACCTCCTGGCCTACTATTGGGCTCTCGGTGTGACGCCAGGCAGCGTCACCTGAGTAGCGCTCAAACAGACAGATCATGTTAGACCTAACGTATGGTGTGCCATCAGCTGCAGCAAAGATGGCATCCATGTACTTGGCATTTCTTGGGCAATCATTCAGCGGGTCGAGAGCAAGGGACAGTAGCCCAAACCCATATTCACCGGCATCCATATAAGTCTTGAAGTACCATGCCTCCTCAGGGTCCATGTATGGTACAAATAGTTCAGATGAGAATCCTTTGTACATCACATTCCTCATCTCCCCAGTCTCAGCATCCCGAATACTAGCCCGAGAAATCATAACTCCTGCCCTTGGATCGGGTTTCAAATGAAATTCCCAGTTTGCCCATTTTACCAAATGCTCGCCTTCTATAACAAAGTTTGGACCATTTGGTTGCTCCATTGATACGGGGTTGGGAAGCTTAAATATTGGAGAATTTTCAGCCGAAAGACGATAGTCTGTCCCGGCTGCTTTTGGGATCGGAATGTGTTTGCCTTTGTCAACAATCTCAAGGACTTCATTAGTGTCCAAATCCACAATCACAACGATCCCTTCAATAGGCCTCATGTAGAAGTTAGCAGTGCCTTCAGTGTTGAAACATTCTAACTTAACTATTCTTCTTCCTTCCTCGTACTTACCTGAAGAAGAAATCACATAAAAACAAAATTACTAAATCTAAGCCTATTTCAATTCATAACGCTACAAATAAAACAAATTATAAACCTATTATGACGTGTTTAATAGGTTAAATAGCCAGTACATCACTGATCACTCTTTTCTAATCATACATATTCAACTACAATTCAACGTATCAAATATATCTAATACACATATCTTCTACAGAAATCTGAATAGATGTGTACAACTTAAAGGGTCGTCTATAATTGAAGAAAAGCAGTAAAAAGTAATTTTGAGGGTGTTTTCACCCCGGATTTTAAAGAGTTTTAACAGTCCTTGTAAATTCCGTGTCCAATTGAGAATTTAGGGTCGTTTGATTGACAAAGGTGGAAAGGCTTTCGAAGTTGAAAAATAAAAATCCAATTAATTGGCAAAAAACAAGCTTAAATATTTGTACTTTCGAAACTTCATTTCCATTTTCTTATTAAACAGCCAAAAATAAAAATTGAATTCTGTGACATTTTCCATGGAATTTAAACCAATGTCGTTAAACTTAACAATTCTAGAGAAGGTTTAACAGTAAAAATAAACACAAACCCATACCGAACCAGCCGGACGAAAAAGGCAAGCATGCAACATTATTGGGATCAACTCCACGAGCAATAATCGATCGATTGAAATCTGAACGAGAAAATGGGGCCCAGATGACTTTTTGCACATCCTCCAAAGAGACATATGGGTACCCGGAGATATGGCTAGTATCCTGTTGCACCACCTCGCCTGTCTCGATATCCACCGTGAATATATACGACTTCCCGGCGGCACGTGAAATCACAGACGCCTTCCGCGGAGGTAGATCATCACCCTTTTTCCACTTCAGCACCACCTTCTTATCAGGCTCCTCGAGAACCAGAGAATGAACTGAATAAACCGTGTCCTTGTAAATGGACTTAATCACTTTCTGAACCTTGTTCATTTCCTGTATGGTTAAAGGGTCCAGTGGGTGGTGGGGCACCTCCGCCGTGTGGTCATGGCGGAGAGCGGTGGTGGGCTGGTGGAGGAAATTGGGTTTCTTCCCCGAGATTCGATTTTTCGAAATACACCACGGTGAGTTAGTGGTGCACTCCAATAACTCCGGCTTGTTCGCCAGTTGATTTTGCAAATTATACACAGTGAAAATCAAAAGAAGAACTGCACTGAAAATGAAGAACAAGCACCTGAGGAAATTTTTCCGTTCCATTTTCTCACTATTTTTTAGGGAGATTCAAGTGTGTGTATAGCTGTATCTCTCTCTATATACACACAATCCGGGCGGTGGGTGAAAATTGAAAATGGTGAACGCGTGATTGTATGAAGAAGAAAATCCGAGATATAGCACATTGGAAAATCATTTTTTTTTTTTCAATTTCAGACATTTATGAAAATGTTGTAGGTGGGTATCTCGAATTTCACGATTTGAGTGAAATTATTTATTTATTCAAGCATCGAATCCAATAGAATTTTGGCAGTTTTGTATTTCTTAAAGGTATTATTTATGGTGTTTTACACTATTGAGTGGTAGTGAAACTTATTGATTAATTGTTAAATGAATAAATAGTTAATCATTAGTGGGTTGTACCATCCTAAATGATCTCTTACATACGAGGATATTTATTGACCAACATTGGAAATGACAACGTTCCGTTTACCTACAACCAAGCTAAAATTGCAATAGTTTGTTTATCATTCTTTAATTATTTCTGAAATAATAAATTTTTCGGAGAAGTAAGGTTAAGCGTCATGCTATCTTGCGTCTTCATATAGGAATAAAATAGTCCGTATACGTTCTTGTTTTGCTAACACCTCTCCACATGATCAAAATTGAATCAATTGAATTCTTATTTTTTATAGTTCAAGTCTTATCGTTCGATAAATTTGAATAATATCTGCATTTTTTTATTTTATTTTTTGGTAACAGTTGAAACATTTAAACCATTTGGTTCATGTTATTTTAATATCAAGAATGGTGGCATCTATCATTAATTGAGATGTATTAGTGCTTTATATGATATTAGATTCTTGATTTATTGTCCAATGAAATTGTGATGCACTTTAATGCATTGAATAATTAAGTCAATGAACCATTATTACTTATTATAATCAATTTTTCCTCTCTTCTTATCAATCAAATATTCTTTAATAAAAATAATATTACACGTAAATTTAAATTATTATTTTTCTTTAATTACACATTTTTCGAAAAATATTATTTTAAAAATTATAATCTCAAATAATAGGGTCAAAGGAAGACTTGATATATTCACCAATGAAATGGGAAATTCATTATCGCGGGCGTCCCGTTTAGCGGTGACGCCATATGCGTGTCCCACCAACTTGGATGCCAGTCAACAATGAGTTTGAATTGAATGAAATCAATGAGTCAATAAGGCATGTTCTCTTGGTTGTTTTCAAGCTGTTTTCTGTTTTTAATTTTTCAAAACAGTGAAAACATATTATCTTTGCCATTTTCGAAAACGCGTTTTTGAAAATGAAAAAAAAAGGACTGAAAATGGAAAACGACTAAGACCACGTTTTGGAAAACTAACGACAAAACAAGGGAAACGACATTTCTTAATTCTCTCTCTCTCCCCCCTCTCCTGCTCTCCCGTAACGAAGACGAACAGGTAAATCAATTTCCTCCCTCACAAACCCACAACCCAAATCGAAGGGTTCTCTACGGGATCTTCAAATCAAGGTTTTAAGATCGTCTTGCCAAATCGAAGGCTTCTCTACGACTGTTTCAATCAAGGTTGCGCATCTTCAAATCAAGATTTTGATTCTTTGCTCGTGATAATCTTTAGTTATTTGCTTGCTATTCTATATCATATTTGTTGGGTAAGGTTTGCCCTCTGTTTTTCAATTTGTTGGGTGTAAGTATGGGTGCCGTTTCTTGGGTATTCTTGCTGCTTGGGGGTCTATGTTTGATGGTGAAGGCGGAATTGCAGGTTGTGTTCTTGACGTTAAACAGACTGGTAGAACGTAGGAGATTTATCATTTTGGGAGAAATTATGAAGATCTGTACAATCTCTATTCCTGTTGTTAAACTAAATTAAGAGAGTGGTTTCAGTTTTTACATTATCTTTAGAAAATTCATCCTTATGTTCCAGTTTAACCATTGGTACAATTGTCAATTTCAAGCAAACTGAGAATTTCAATCCCAAAATGGAATTTCCTACGCCAACAATGTAGCAACAAATGGTACTTTTCACTTCATATTTAATGACGTATCATGTAAGTCTACTATAATTGATGATATCCAAATCATATAAGTCTACTATATTTAATGATGTATCATACATGTAGAAAGCTATAATATCAGTAGCCCTTAATTCCTTTTCTCTCACAAATCTACTCCAGCCTCGTTGTTTTCTTTACCAGAGAGAGCTATCATTAACTAGTTGTTGCTGTCATTTTTAGATTCATTTGAAGTGGAAATTAGCTAGATTTTTTGATGATGTTACTGTTGCACTTCAGCTAGTAAAATCTATGTGGTTTACATCTAGTTGCAGACCTTTCAGTAAATGCAATGCACTATCTAGTGACTCAGCAAAAAAGGGATGCTTGTAACTGACCCATATCATACGTATTGCCAATGATTTTCGTTGGCCGACCTCCAAATTTTTTGTTACCACCATAATATCCTCTTTTGTGTAATCTTGGCATCCTCAATATTCTTAACAAGCTTCATAAAAGAGAGAGTACTATACAATTGGATCTCGTCAATAGTCTGGAAACTGAAAAATAAGACGGAATGTGCTAGGCATTGACTTTTCTTTTATCTTTATAGTTATTTGAAATTGAGGGGGACTACATTCATCTTCGAGAAGGTGCACAAGAAATAATAGCAGCCACATCATCTGTTGCTAGAGTTGCTGCAGCGCCATCTTCGTGTCCAACACTGTTACCTTCTGTGGCAGTCACTCCCATGGCACAACCCCACCGATTGAAGGTCTCCTCTCTTGAATTCACATCTGCAGATGCTGATATGACCAATTTCAATGAGATTGCAGCCTCTAGACCTTCACATCTTGCTGGCAATCCTTCTAAGTTCTCTGCATTCAGAATTAGAATATGAATGGTGCTTCCTTTAGTGTTGCTGGGGAGTCTCAAATATTAAAATTTTGAGCAAACCTAAAGATCACATGGAACTGAATGGATCTGAAAACTCTGGACAATTGACAGTTGGAAATGGAATAAACACTGATAAAAATGGTGTTTTCCAAAGGAAGGATACATCTCATGGGAAGTCCAGCGCAAGTTTTGTAGGTAAACATCAGGGCAGGTATTGACTTTAGAATTTCATATAACTGATAAATTCTATGCATGCTACAAAATATAAGCTTACTGAAATCAACTACTTCTTTTGCTAGGGCAACTGGTGCTGCATCAAGTCCTAGAAGATAGTAAGTACATTATATTTTTATCTATGTTGTGCTTTTATGTTACATTTCTTTTAAAATAGATAATATGCTTTATGCTACTGTTTAGCTTGTGGACAAAACTTATGTGCATATATTCCCTACAATTTTTGTCTGAAATTTTGAGACTTCTCAAAACATGCGAATTTGAAAGCATATAAAAGTGAATTAAAAGTTAAAACTAAAGAGGATAATGTGGAAAGGTGAAATGGACATCAGAAATGCAAGCCTTCACCGTGATTTGTATTTTAAATTGAGGATTATAGCTATGTATCTCAAATGTTACATGTACCAAGGAGATATGCAATGTGACAGGGTAAAAAGTAAACACTATATGGGTTGGGTGCATTTCTTTAACTATGTTTATTTTTGTTTTATCTGGAATACACATTCAAGCTTGTGCTTCATGTGCGACCAGTTGGTAAGGTTTGACCAATTGTTGTAGAGTAGAATTGGTGCCATATTCTTTTATTTGTTCATTTAGCATGTTAATTATGTCAAGATATTCGAAGAGGTTTTAAAGTGATCATGTACTAATGTAAAACTTTTAAGGGTTAGCCCACTTGTTCTTGCTCTAAAAGGGTATTAAGTTGGCATTTCAGAAGCTCCCTCGTTTAAATTCCTACTTCAGAGACTACATTTGTGTGGATGTTTATTTTGCCTTTGGATTGGTGTATAATTTTGTTCCCTCGTCATTGATTTTGGCCTTTGATTTTGTAGAATATATCTTGGTGCTTGTTGGGGGAATGCCATGACTAGTTAAACACCAAGTGCTACTGGAGATGATGAGAAGAGGGAGGTTATATGCTCTCGAGTTGGAATCTCCAAT